ATAAATCGCACAGGTGTTACATATATGTTCAATGTTTTTATCTTTGGTTTAAACTCAATTTACATCGCAATCCGAGTCTTCTATTATGCAACCAAGACGTCTCACTGGTTTAAAGTTTCCGTAACATTTTATAAATCATTCTTAGTTTTTAAATAGCGAACGCCTAAATATTTAAAAAAAAAAAAAAAAAAAACTCAAGTGTACTTCAGAAACACATAACTAGAGCGACGCTACACACTCACTATAGTACCCATTATAGAATGGACTAAACGTGTTTTCATCAATTTCCGAGACTATCTAGAAATGTGAAATCTGCTATTTTTATATACAAATGTAAGTTGTCTTTTCATTTTCATTGGTTGATTAAATATGTCATATTTTTTTCCGTCGGTCACCAAAAGGCCAATACTAGTTTGTTCATTGTCAATATGATGAGACCATGATGTAAAAAGAAATATGTGCAAGTAGTATGGGAGTAGATAGCTTTCAGAGGCAATTCAAAAACAAATGTAGTATCTATACAATCGGGTACGAGTTTAAGTTTGTATCTGTTAAAAGAAAAAAAAAGTAAGTGTAAGTAAGATACTTTGTAAATATCGAATCGGGTGCAGTTGCATAATTTCCATGTAAACCACTCGACAGAGTTCGTGGACTCGGAAAACTATTTGGGGTAGGTGTTACAGACACAATTGGTGTCAATGAGCAATGATCTGCGCATTACTTATTGGACAGATAGTATGATAGTGATGATAGGTTCCTTTGTCAAAGTTTGATGTTGATCGCTTCTGACACGGAATTGTCTCGCCTAGTTCATATCACATACCGGGATTTAAATAGCTTTTTCTACAACACTTCCATTACGCTAGACTGCACAGTTTCGAATTTAAATCACTCAAGGTCATGTTAGTTGCTCCCCCAAAGATAACGCGGCGCGGTATCTGGTGTTTATGGGTGTAATGTTATAAAATCTTGGATTGAGTTGCGTTACAGGTAATCGATCAGTTGGTCTATTAGGTTTGACTCTGATCGTGATGGCAACACGGACAACGTTTTATGTTCAATCAGGACATGGTAGCGTGGTCTCATTATTCTACCATTTTGGTTTTTTTTTTTTTTTTTTACAAATTTTCGGTTGTCTAGATCCCCCGATGTCCCAGTTGTCATTTTACACAGAATAAGTCCGAGAAAGGTTATCCCATGATGTTAAGTGCATCATGTCTGTAAATGGAATCTTAACCACAGTTAATCCTCAATAGGGATTTATCAACTCTTGGAGTGTTGTAAGTTTTGTATATACCGAGTAAAAGACAAATAACGCGTTCGAGTCTTAATAAGTCCGATGTTTTTGGATACCAAAATAAAAATGAAATCGTTTACTAACATTCACAACATTCTATATAGCTTTTAATAATTGTACATGTTTTTATATTTTCTTACTAGCACTGTAAGGGAGGAATACTCTGTTGCTCGACCTTTTCTATTGGTTTGATAGGTAATTAAATATGATGGCTGGGTAAGATAATTGTTTAAGATAATATTTTCAGGTAATTTCTCCGTTTTCATGTTGTACACTTTTCATTTGTAAACTATCCTATGCACAGTGGCGTAGCCAGGATCTTAAGTTGGGGGTGGGGCAAAAATCTGGCAACGCCGGCGAAGCCGTGAGTTGCGAGCGCCAAAGGCGCGAAGCTTTGGCGAGGGGTCTGAGGGCCCTCCCCCAGAAAATTTTGGCTCCATTTCCTGCATTTTGAGCGTATTTTGAAGGAAAATAACGACACAATAATACTCGGATAAGTCGATATAATGTATTGAAATAAATCAAAGTTAGAAAAGATACAAATGGAAACAAAATAATGTCGGACTACATGTACATAACAATCAATAAGAAATATCAGTAAATGACAACATACATAAAGATAAAAAATCAGCATAGACTACTGCTCGACAAAATGCAAGTAGAATCGATAAAATCACTGAAATATAGATATGAAAAATACAGATGCAGAAAACTGAAAAATGCTCCCCCCCCCCATTAAAAAAACTCAACGGATTTACACGTTTCACAAAAGTCACCTCTGGGACAATTAGGGGGGGTGGGGCAGTTCCCACAGCCTTGACATATTTGATTAATGTCTTTGCATTAGCAATAGATTAACAGGACTCGTCAGTGATGCTACATCATACAGCTATTTCGTCCTTCTAATACTCGTTAACGATGTTACATCATACATCTGTTTCGTCCTTCTAAGACTCGTTAGTGATGCTAAGGACTTAACTGTTGTTGAAAGCTTGCAGGTGACTGCGGAAAATTTATGGTACTCCTGATCAAATTGTGTTCCTGCAGAAGTCAAAACTTGTCGATTAAGGGTCGGAAAACCTCCCCAAACTGAACACGCTGATTTTGTAAACAATATATATCTGATCAATACTGAAATCAGTGATCAGCCCCTTTTACACTTCAACATTTATTCATTCTGAGTATCCCTGCTAAGTTAATTATTTCGGCACAGACCATCACCGACCTAAAGGCTAGAAGGACAAAACATACATGATTACGCTTTTAGCTATCTTATTTTTTAAAATTTCGAAACGGTATGATTAATATATTCCTGCTGTATGCGTGGTTAATTAAACAGTCATTTAAGTTTGAATTCAATACTATTACAGCAACTTTATATGCAGAGCGTTTGAAGTTCGAATGGAAACCGAACACGACATATCGTTTTCCTATCATAAATACAACTGTAGTCAACCAATGGTAGCTCAAGCACAATGTATTGTGCTATAAAATGTTCAGCACAAATATGTCGCGTATTTGGCGATACAACCGCAAAGTGAACTGGATGAAGTTGTAAAAAAAATACGAACGATCGGTTGAGTAGAATTTTTAAAGAGTTGATACCCGGCTTACGGTCATGAAACATCTAGAGTATCGTGTTTCTCTTACGTTAAAATCTCAGTGAAGCGTGTCCTAATTTAGGCACGGTCATGTCTATTTCTATCAACACACTCAGGATACCACTAATCATACATTGAAATAGTTTATAATTTCTATTGAATTAGACGAAAAGTCAAAAGACCTCCTTATCCTTCTTCTTTTCCTCCTACTCCTCCTCTTCCTCCTTCTCCTCCTCCTCTTCTTCCTCCTCTTCCTCCTCCTCCTTCTTCTTCTCCTCCTCCTCTTCCTCCTTCTTCTCCTCCTCCTCCTCTTCCTCCTTCTTCTCCTCCTCCTCTTCCTCCTCCTTCTTCTCCTCCTCTTCCTCCTTCTTCTCCTCCTCCTCTTCCTCCTCCTCCTTCGTCTCCTTCTCCTCCTCCTCCTTCTTCTCCTCCTTCTTCTCCTCCTCCTCTTCCTCCTCCTCCTTCTTCTCCTCCTCCTCTTCCTCCTCCTCCTTCGTCTCCTTCTCCTCCTCCTCTTCCTCCTCCTTCTTCTTCTCCTCCTCCTTCCTCCTCTTCCTCCTACTCCTCGTTCGTCTTCTCCTACTCCTCCTCTTCCTCCTCCTCCTCTTCCTCCTTCTTCTCCTCCTCCTCTTCCTCCCCCTCCTTCTTCTTCTCCTCCTCCTCTTCCTCCTCCTCCTTCCTCCTCCTCTTCCTCCTCCTCCTTCTTGTCCTCCTTCTCATTCGTGTCCTGTTCCTAGTCCTTGTGCTCCGTCTCCTCGTCTTCTCCTCCTCCTACTCCTCCTCTTCCTCCTCCTCCTCGTTCGTCTTCTTCTCCTCCTCCTCCTACTCCTCCTTCGTCTTCTTTTCCTTCTCCTCTTCCTCCTCTTCCTCATCCTCCTCCTTCGTCTCCTTCTCCTCCTCCTCCTCTTCCTCCTCCTCCATCGTCTCCTTCTCCTCTTCCTCCTCGTTCGTCTTCTCCTACTCCTCCTCCTCCTCCTCCTTCGTCTTCTTCTTCTCCTCCTCCTCCTCCTCTTCCTCCTACTCCTCCTCTTCCTCCTCCTCGTTCGTCTTCTTCTCCTCCTCCTCCTCCTACTCCTCCTTCGTCTTCTTTTCCTTCTCCTCTTCCTCCTCTTCCTCATCCTCCTCCTTCGTCTCCTTCTCCTCCTCCTCCTCCTCCTCCTCCTCTTCCACATCCTCCTCTTCCTCCTCCTCCTCCTCCTCTTCCTCATCCTCCTCCTCCTCCTTCGTCTCCTTCTCCTTCTCCTCCTCCTCCTCCTCTTCCTCATCCTCCTCTTCCTCCTCCTTCTCCTCCTCTTCCTCATCCTCCTCTTCCTCCTCCTCCTTCTCCTCCTCTTCCTCATCCTCTTCCTCCTCCTCCTCTTCCTCCTCCTCCTTCTCCTCCTCCTCTTCCTCATCCTCCTCCTCCTCCTCCTCGTTCGTCTTCTCCTCCTCCTCCTCTTCCGCCCTGATCTTATTCAAGATTTTTAACAAGATTTGGTGTGGTATGAAATCAGAAACACAACGGTATCAACCGGATGTTTAATTAAACAAAATAATCTACCTGGAGGCTAGTCAAAAATTTCATTTTGATCGGTGTACTCCAGAGTTTCCTTCCAGAGTCACGTTTATTTTTTGAATACGTCATCCTTTTCCATCGACCTTCCTTCCTCACATTACATACTTAATATGCATCATTTGTAAGTTTGAAGGTGTAGTGGTAAAGTTGATACTAGTTATATGGGATATTTTTCTATGTAACTGTTTAATTAGATGCTGCACCTCCAAGACAGTAGACGTGTACACGCGTACAGGCTTTATCCACACATAAACAAAAAAAAAATATTCTCACATGGTCCCAGTTTTCCAATTAATTAGAATCAACCAGTGGTTAGTGAAAAATTCAAATCGCCGCCATTTATCAAACTGGAGCATTAAAGGGAAAGGTAACATTCAAGATTGATCAACCTGACCTGTCTCAACAATTCTGCAGTCGTGAAATGATAAATGAAGTTTTGTTTTATTCATGTCTGAAAATGTTCACTAATCAATGATTATCCCTAACCAGACTTTGAACAACCGGGTCATGATATTGTTTTACTGTTTTTTTCCAGACACAGGATGTTCGATGGACATGAAGAAAACGCTGACAGAAGGCGATATATTCACATTCAGGTGTAACGTTTCGGAATCTGATGCTTTGGATTTGTTCTCTAACCCACTTAAATATTTCTTCCGCGATCAAACATCCGGAAATCAAGTCAAGATCTCAGAAAACAGACAAATAGTGGACGCATCATCTCCCTGGAGAGTTGATATCCATCCGAACTCAACCAGCAGCTTTTTTTTATTCGAATTATCGGGAAGTATGTTGAAAATTAGCACTTTGTTGTTCTGTATTGCCAAACAAATCCGTGTAATAACTAGATATACATAGACTATGTGTTCTTAAACTAGTTAAAATGGGGTTCATGTGATTAATACAATACTTCCGAACTTTAAGACAGTATAGTTTATTTCAAAAAGATAAGACAGTACGATACTTCCTAACTTTAAGACAATATAGTTTATTTCAAAAAGATAAGACAGTACGATACTTCCGAACTTTAAGACAATATAGTTTATTTCAAAAAGATAAGTCATTATAGTTTATTTCAAACTTATAAATCAGTATAGTTTATATTAAAATAATTAGACAAGATAGTGTATTTCTAAATTATTAGACAGTATAGTTTGTTTCAAAATCTTAAGGCAGTATAGTTTATATTAAAATAACTAGACAGTACAGTGTATTGCGAATTGATTATACAGTAAAGTTTATTTCAAAATGAAGGAATTGTTAATTGCAATCAGCAGCTAATTGTTTATGTCGTCGCAAAGCAGTATCATGTTGTATATATTTGTGTCTATACTAAATGTATGACTACATGATATATCAGTACCCCAACAATTTGGTACCACATCTGGAGCAAAGATCTAATTGTGATAAAAGAAGAATAATCAAATTGTTTTTATTATGCATTTTGATCAGTTGTCTGATAAAAGTCAGTTTGAACATTTGTTAAATCAGATTTGTGTTTTGTATTACAGTGGTAAATATGGAGAGCTCTGGAACCTACTACTGTACCAGAAAAAATGTCAACAACTCAGTGATCCTAACAGTGAGAGAACTAACACGTAAGTTGTCCATGTTAGTCAATTAATCAGTATTTCCGAATTTTACCTGTAGAATTTCTTTAATTCAAATATCACCGGATGACCTGATATAAAAAAAAAAACATCGCCACTGTAATGTTCCTCCGGGCTGTTTGACACACTGGTCATACACTGGGTTTTGTATGAATCTGTATAGATCATCGCTTCTTACTACAAAAAAAACTATGCATTTTAAACATTAATATTCTTACAACATATCATTGTTGATTTCAAAATATTTAAATACTTAATTTGGTGTTATCCACGAGTTAACATCTGTCAATAGTACTTAGAAAGAATTACGAAAAATTGTTGGATTAAGTGGCTGTTGCACCGCCCTGTCTAAATTTTGACTTTTTTCGATCTCTTTGTATTTTCCTTTGTCGCCTCCTAGACTTAAAAAATTAGGCCTTTCGCATCACTGACGAGTCCTAGAACGACGAAACAGCAGCATGATTCAGTTTAGTACATTTTTCTGGCTCTGCTGTATCTAACTAAATCATTATTAAGAAACTGAAGATGCAAATCCTTCTACAAGATGCAATTATCTGTGTCACTCGTCGCGATCGCGTTTGAATGGGTCCTAAGTAAAGTATTTGCAGCGACCATTAGGATAATGGAACCCGTCCTCTTCAGATATTCAGATTTTCATATGTTAACGTCGTTCAATTAAAGATCTGTTTGATGCAGCTCGCATTGAATACTTGGAATGGAATACAATCGTTTGCTCTTTGTTTGATGTTATACCGATGTCGATTGAACTCATACAAAATAAGCTGAATGTCATAATGTATGGTGCCAAACGGCTATGTGTAAACCAAAACATTCCAAGGTGTGTTATTTCTTTCTTACAGAGGATGTGAAAACAATTGACTTTTCCATATCGGCTCTCGATGAATTTGGAGTTCCTGCCGGAGAGGAGTTCATTGTGACAAGATTGGAAGGCCAACAAGATCCTGAACCTAAGGTGGTGCACATTGATTCCGGTTATTATCAAGCCATATGTAATGCGGAAGAGGGTATCCCAAAGCCTAGATATGTACTGAAGTCTGGAAATGCTGATCTGGCTTTCGAACACATGAAGAAGGTTCTTCTCAACTCGGCAACATCAGATTTATCATGTCACGTTGAGAATGGAGAATTTGCTCATCATCTCAAGTTCCTTCTGATGATTAATGCAGGTATGATATAACTAATTGACTGAAACATTCAATAACAGAACCTGGTTACATCTGTGCATATTGTATAAATAGTAGCCCACAAAATTATTTTTACCCGTCGGATAAAAATGCCGAATTTTACCTTCAGAAATTGAAGTTTGGTTTCAATTTCAAATTTTCACCCAACTTTTGTGTTCGCTCTATTGCAAATAAAGGCGAGTTGGGTGAATCTAAACTGCAGTTAATGCTTTTTTCTTTATTAATTGTTATCATTCATTATCATCATTATAAAACATATCTGTTACATGGACAATTCAACAATAACACTTAGAAATATTTTGTTTATCAAAATCACATCGGAATTTTTCAACGTCATATATATTATGTATACACCATGTGATAATTATTTGAATTTTGAATTAATTTCAATTTATCACGAAATATTACATCGACAATGATTGCATTTGTCACCCGTTCCCAGATTGTGTCGTCTGGATGTGTATTGTCTACCGTTATATCACACTGATGAAAGTTTTAAAAATGTGCTCATTCATAACTCTTGATTAGTCATTGACCGCAGTTCTATGACCTGAATATCATGCATTTTTTTGCACAGGACATCCCGAGATGGACTGCAGCTCTCCGACTGTTGCCACTGGAGAGGATGCAGAATTCGACTGTCTGGTGACTGGTAAAAACCTTAAGTGTGATCACTTTTCCTGGATTTCGGAACTAGATGGGAGCCCGTTCAATAACAAAGCGAACTACACAGTAGATTGTCAAGTACGTTTGATCTATAACGGTATATTCGGCACTTTCTGAAAAGTAAAACAGATCACAGGTTCTATTGAAAAAGAGAGATAATGATGGGTAGCATAAATGTCGATTATTCCGTGATGAGTAATAAGTCGTGTTACAGTAGAGAGATGGGTAGTAATGAATCGTGTTACAGTAGAGAGATGGGTAGTAATGAGTCATGTTACAGTAGAGAGATGGGTAGTTATGAGTCGTGTTACAGTAGAGATATGGGTAGTAATGAGTCGTGTTACAGTAGAGAGATGGGTAGTTATGAGTCGTGTTACAGTAGAGAGATGGGTAGTAATGAGTCGTGTTACAGTAGAGAGATGGGTAGTAATGAGTCGTGTTACAGTAGAGAGAAGGGTAGTTATGAGTCTTGTTACAGTAGAGATATGGGTAGTAATAAGTCGTGTTACAGTAGAGAGATTGGTAGTAATGATTCGTGTTACAGTAGAGAGATGGGTAGTAATGAGTTGTGTTACAGTAGAGAGATGGGTAGTAATAAGTCGTGTTACAGTAGAGAGAAGGGTAGTAATGAGTCGTGTTACAGTAGAGAGAAGGGTAGTAATGAGTCGTGTTACAGTAGAGAGAAGGGTAGTAATGAGTCGTGTTACAGTAGAGAGATGGGTAGTAATGAGTCGTGTTACAGTAGAGATATGGGTAGTAATAAGTCGTGTTACAGTAGAGAGATTGGTAGTAATAAGTCGTGTTACAGTAGAGAGAAGGGTAGTAATGATTCGTGTTACAGTAGAGAGAAGGGTAGTTATGAGTCTTGTTACAGTAGAGATATGGGTAGTAATAAGTCGTGTTACAGTCGTGTTACAGTAGAGAGATGGGTAGTATTGAGTCATGTTACAGTAGAGAGATGGGTAGTAATGAGTCGTGTTACAGTAGAGAGAAGGGTAGTAATGAGTCATGTTACAGTAGAGAGATGGGTAGTTATGAGTCTTGTTACAGTAGAGAGAAGGGTAGTAATGAGTCATGTTACAGTAGAGAGAAGGGTAGTAATGAGTCGTGTTACAGTAGAGAGAAGGGTAGTAATGAGTCATGTTACAGTAGAGAGATTGGTAGTAATGATTCGTGTTACAGTAGAGAGAAGGGTAGTAATGAGTCATGTTACAGTAGAGAGAAGGGTAGTAATGAGTCGTGTTACAGTAGAGAGAAGGGTAGTAATGAGTCTTGTTACAGTAGAGAGAAGGGTAGTAATGAGTTTTGTTACAGTAGAGAGAAGGGTAGTAATGAGTCGTGTTACAGTAGAGAGAAGGGTAGTAATGAGTCGTGTTACAGTAGAGAGATGGGTAGTAATGAGTCGTGTTACAGTAGAGAGAAGGGTAGTAATGAGTCGTGTTACAGTAGAGAGAAGGGTAGTAATAAGTCGTGTTACAGTAGAAGGATTGGTAGTTTATGAGGTGAGTCACAACAGAAGTGTGTTCCATTGGAAAGGTGGGTAGTTATGGGCCATGTTACAATAAATTCCTTGACAGGAAAGAGCTTGGTAACGGTAGTTAAGAGAGGTATGACCTATATAGCAACGACATGGTTTGAAGAAATAAGATCGGTTTGATTTAGAATTTTTACTCTTTTCCCGATGATAATATTGATGGAATAAATTTTGTATATTTCTTTTGCGTGTAGGTACAGGAAAGTGGAAATAGCATGATAAATGTGTTGAAGTTTAAGAATGTCATGTCATCTGATTTTGACGAAGGTTACATTCTGAAATTTGAAAATCACCTTGATGAAACATTTCAAACGGTGAACAAACTGAAGAAGAAGAAGAAGATGGGTAAGGAAAACTGTACCGTTAGAATTAGTAATATCTATTGTATTAAAGTCTGCATATCTGATGTTAAATTGTCTATATATTTAGTGTCTGTATATAAAATGTCTTACTTCTGAATATTTAGTGTCTTATTGTCTGTATATCAAATGTCTTACTGTCTGAATATCCAGTGCCTTATTGTCTGTATATCAAATGTCTTACTGTCTGAATATCCAGTGCCTTATTGTCTGTATATCAAATGTCTTACTGTCTGAATATCCAGTGCCTTATTGTCTGTATATCAAATGTCTTACTGTCTGAATATCTAATGTCTTATTGTCTGTATATAAAATGTCTTACTGTCTGAATATCTAGTCTCTTATTGTCTGTATAACTAGTGTCTTACTGTCTGTATACCAAGTGTCTTACAGACTGTATAACTAGTGCCTTACTGTCCGTATAACTAGTGTCTTACTGACTGTATAATTAGTGCCTTACTGTCTGTATACCAAGTGTCTTACAGACTGTATAACTAGTGCCTTACTGTTCGTATAACTAGTGTCTTACTGACTGTATAACTAGTGTCTTACTGACTGTATAATTAGTGCCTTACTGTCTGTATACCAAGTGTCTTACAGACTGTATAACTAGTGCCTTACTGTCCGTATAACTAGTGTCTTACTGACTGTATAAATAATGTCTTACTGACTGTATCACTAGTGTCTTACTGTCTGTATATCTAGTGTCTTGCTGACTGTATAAGTAGTGCCTTACTGTCTGTTTAAGTAGTGTCTTACTGACAGTATAGCTAGTGTCTTACTGTCTGTATACCAAGTGTCTTACAGACTGTATAACTAGTGCCTTACTGTCCGTATAACTAGTGTCTTACTGACTGTATAATTAGTGCCTTACTGTCTGTATACCAAGTGTCTTACAGACTGTATAACTAGTGCCTTACTGTCCGTATAACTAGTGTCTTACTGACTGTATAACTAGTGTCTTACTGACTGTATAATTAGTGCCTTACTGTCTGTATACCAAGTGTCTTACAGACTGTATAACTAGTGCCTTACTGTCCGTATAACTAGTGTCTTACTGACTGTATAAATAATGTCTTACTGACTGTATCACTAGTGTCTTACTGTCTGTATATCTAGTGTCTTGCTGACTGTATAAGTAGTGCCTTACTGTCTGTTTAAGTAGTGTCTTACTGACAGTATAGCTAGTGTCTTACTGACCGTATAAGATGTGTTTTACTGACTTTATAAGTAGTGTCTTACTGACTGTATAACTAGTGTCTTACTGTCCGTATAACTAGTGTCTTGCTGTCTGTATATCTAGTGTCTTACTGACTGTATATCTAGTGTCCTACTGACTGTATATCTAGTGTCTTACTTACTGTATCACTAGTGTCTTACTGACTGTATAACTTGTTTTTTCTGATTTATATCTATCGTCTTACTGTGAGTAAATTTTCATATCTTACTGTTAGTGTCTTCAGATCAGAATACTCATTTGTAACTTCTAGCGTCTGCTGTGTCGATTTATTTAATATAGTATCGCAATATCAATATCTATAATGTCTATATGTTTTAGTACTTGCATCTCCTGAATAGGCATGTTTTAGAATCATTAACCTGGTAGCATATTCATATGATACTAAAGACATAATGATATTCTTTATCATATTGATGTTTATTTTAGAAGTAAACATTTTTGAAAAAAAATCATACACTTATTTTAACTCTGTTTCTGTTGATACCCTTATGTATTGGTTTTATCTTTTGTATAAAGCTTATTTATTTAATTTATTTAATTCGCAATTTCATTTCGGAAAAAAATGTTTCAGAAATAATAAATTCAGCAACAACAGTGGTGCCTTTTGGAATGATGTCTCTCCTCTTCCTGTCCGTACTGGGACTCATCCTGTAGACAAGTGGAGAAATGGCTTCAGATGCATGTTTCGCATGTTACTTACTGGAATGACAGGTTTAAGTATAAGGTCTAGTGGTGAGGGAGAGAGGGACGCTTGGCCGACCACAATAGTTTATCCTTTGTACGCGAGATCTACATCGGGTATTTGTGTTTCTAGTGTTGTAATGCGTTGAACACCGTACCGATATAGACGGTCACTAGATCTGGTACTTACCTGTATGTATATCCTCGTATTAATGTGGACCATGAGGAGGATCCGACGAAAATAAAAATCAAAAGATAAGCTGTTGGAGATTCATAAGGGGAACGACATTCTTGTGAAATAATGAGAACACAAAATAAAACAGGTATTCTGACATTTGTACAAAACGTCAAGATTGAGCAGCAGAGATGATATAAAAGAACATATGTTTTTAGCGGAAGTTTGGAAGAATTGTCTGTAAATTTATGGACGGGGATGACAAAAGATCTGCATGACTGAACAGACACTGTTCAGTGTGAACTTGCCAAATCAAACCAAGGGCTGACATCATCGGCTCAAATACAAATGTATCGTAAACAAGGCTAGATTTCAGATACATATGTGTATATATATATATATATATATATATATATATAAATTGTGTTGAAAAGAACTGATGATTGAAATTGCTAGAAACATGAAATGGGAAAAAATGAAAGTTATGTGACTATATCATTGCTTAGTTTTCGGTATATGTTTTTAAAAGCTTAAATTATATTTCAATAATGAAAAGTGATGCAACTTTCAAAAAAGCGGATTCTAATATGTAAGCACAAAATGAATTAATTTGCCGTATTTTCCTCTTGTAGAATACAACATGTAGACTGCCTTATAGGGTGCGAAATCCGCGGAAAGGTCACGTGGTTAATAATTCTCATAACTTTCGTGAATCATGTTGGATGCTGGTCATAATTACAACAAAAGATATTTACAATAATCGTTCATGGTAAATGCTCATTATTGGAAGCTAGGCGACAGATACAGAAATGGTAAATTAATCGTTTAGAAATTATTGCTAAAACTAAGAAATATTCATATCAGTCATGCATTTTTATTCTTGTTTGAGAGTGAATGGATACTCCTTATCATTTAGGCAAGTGAACATTATCAATTTTCCATCTTGGGGTGTTTGAACATGATCTCTGTTATAATTGTCTTGGGTTAAATAAATGGTGTTATAAATCTGATATGAGTTGTATAAACGATGATGAATTTTTTTTTTAAGAACATCAGGTTTGCTTAAATTTCCAGTTTTTGATAATATTTAGGCTTTTATATATATCAAATATATAAGTAGTCAAATGTAGATTAGAGATATAAAATTGAAATGTATTTCTCATTACTTCATCCGGCTTTTCTTTCCAATTTTACATGAGACAGGTTTATATAAATACGTGCGTGTGTGAGATAGTATATGATGCAACAATATATATGTTCTGTTGTGACAGTATCCATGGAAACACTTGTGCGAAAGTACGTAATGATTTGTGTCTGGTTGTGAAAAGATGGGATTGTTCTGACAATAGTCCTTCTAATAGTGAACTACAACAATTTTCTTGTAAAAACGTATCGTGCCATTCATTAATGATGCTGATATCATTACGATGACATAAAATCAAAAACTTTAATTAAGAAATCAAAGGAAAAAAATCACATACCCGGTTTTGAATTCAGCAATGTATTATTTTTTGGTTATCATGATGGAAGATTTCATTTAAAGATTACTTTTGTTATTATTACTACTTTTTCAAAAAAAAATGTATGAAGCTGAGCGTTGTGTAATGTTTTTTTTATTCCATGTGTAGTTTATAAATATGTATACACACACATATATATATATACTAATATGATTCCACTAACAGTTGTAAACTTATATTATCTTATCTTTTACACAGATGTATAGAGAGCATTGCTACCTGGTCACATTTTTTTTGTGTCTAGTCTTTCTTGCTTTCAAAAGCGTATTGCAATATGTAAATATTTTATATCATAATCGTTCAATTTCCAATCCAATAGCGTTTTGGCCAAGAAGATGCCTTTAAATCATGTTATTATATATATCAGAATGAGGTCACGATTATGTTCACGTGCCTGTTGATGAATGACCTTTTTACAATTGTTTATAATGATATTAGTTGTACTGGCTGTATAACTGCGGAGTGCAAGCCTCATATGGTTTCTGGACGTGTTTGCAAATTTAAATGAAGAATTTCTGGATGGTTTTATAAATGCGTTTCGGTGTCTTAAGAAACAAAGACAAACTCAAACTGTGTCTATTTTTCTGTGCAGCTTCTTTTAAATACAAGTTTAGTTCTAAGCGTTTTGTCTGGAAGAGAATGACTCTCCTATTTACAAGTTTAGTTTTAAGCGTCGTGTCAGGTTGAGAATAACATATTCGTTCATCGATCAGATTCATATCTTCTATCCATCTTTTACTCGTTGTATGATTGTATGTACATATTCACTAGTGCTTTATTGTGTGGTTTTTTTTATATAAAAGCTCAATTCCATTTCATTTTTTATCTTACTGTAGTTTTAGAACGTTATTCAAAGTGGATCTTTTTTTTTTTTTTTTTAGATATGATACTTCTGTACTTTTTTTAACATGGAGTATAAGTTATTTGCTAATTAAACATCATTTTACCGGTTGTATTCACGTATCCAAGGTATTGGATGTAAATGTACCACATATATGAAAAGTGGTCTGATTAACCTATTTTTGCTTAAGAACACGTGCAAATCCACTGTTTAATTCGCCCTTACTCCACGGTTTGGGTTAAATAATTGACCAACAGTTCTTTTTTTGTCTGATTGTGATCGTCAAAAGTTAAAAAAAAACGACGTAGTTACCATCGGTGTGTATGTTAAGTGAATTGATCACAAGCTAAGTATAAATCCCCATTATTGTTTCAACCCTTTCTCTATGTAGTATCACATCACTTTTGAAATATGAAGTATTTTTCATACTTTCTGTTGTTGTTGTTGTTGTTGTGTGAAATATTTTTAAACTTTCGTCTTCCTTCGTCGTGATGTACTCATAAATAACAAACAGCTTGTACCACTGGTCAGACTTGGCCAGTACTCTCAGTAAAACAACCTACTTCAAAAATATCGTGCAGAATACGGAAACAAAAAATTGTAGCAGTTCATGATTTTTTTTTTTTTTTTTTTTTTACATTTTCGTTTTGATGTTATCTGTATATCCTTTAATGAAATGTCTTCATTTATTCGGAAGAAATATGTCATGCAAGGAAGCATGTTTTATACTTTACTTGTGCTAATTCTAAAATGGTTTGGTGTGCTACATTGATACATAATATATCAAAATGGACGTTTGGACATTTCCATTCCACAGGATGTCATACGAAAAGTAAACCTGAAGTAACACAATACTCGACATTATATATGTTCCGCTTCACATTTTCTAGGCTGTCAGTAATAAAAAATGACTAATTCATTCAATTCACGTTTTTGTTTTTAATCTGAGCTCTCGCTGCCTCCGTAGGAATATACAAGTATATTTTCAAAGTATAGAAATATTGTACAAAAGAGTCACAAGTGAATAGGACATTTGCATACAAATTTAGAATGAGATACAACAGAAGCAAAAAATGAATTAATCTACACCATACAGCGTTTTCCTTCTTCTAGGACTCGTCAGTGATGCTAAGGGGTTTAATTTTGAGGTATTGCAGGTGACTGCGGTAAATTCAAAGTGGTATATGGGAAAGTCAAAAATTAGGTCGGGAGGTACTCCAGTAGATTGTAATGTTCAGGACAGTGACGGAGTTTTCAGACTTAATAAATTTCCTTTCAGAATGGTTAATACGGGGCACATTCAGTGTACTTAATCCGAAATCGTTTCATCAGACCTCAAGACCAGCTTCGTTCTGAAGAAATATCCTGTATGTTAGAAAATAAAGTTTGCGAAGTTTGTCAGTGAGATCAAGTTCAAACTTGTCCTAAATTATAGTAAATGTTATTGTTTGGGTCGGGTCCGAAATCTAGTTTTGCTGCCTCTCTCTTGGAAAACCCGATCAAACATTTTCCACTGGTGCCCTGGAGCTGCAAATTGGTGAGGATGTTAGTAAAGAAAGCCAGCCATGTATTGTCAGTTTTCGGCCTCGTTATAAGTTCAATATGGCAGCTGCGGCGGCCATTTTGTTACAACTCTCACAGCGTACATCTTATACGTCTTCTCCAGCTTCACCTTTGGGATTCACATTACACTTACCTGAAATAATGCTGAGGAAGTATGGACCAAAATGTGTTATCGGGTCGGTTGGACATCCAATATACTACCTCCATTTTGGGTAAAAAAAATACAAAAAGCACACTTTTCAGACAACTCCACTTTCACTTTAGCCACTTCGGCTTGTGTCATTAAAAATGAAATTAGGTAGAAAAGTTAAGATAGAAATTGTTGGTTTTGCTACATTTACTGCTGAAATTGTAAAATCTGACTCATATAATAATTGATTCCTCTACCACTAATACTATCATATCTCCGAGTCAGATGGTCGATCATGAAGGTTTATGGGCCTTTTTTCTGTCTAATAGTGTCAAAGTTCAGAATAAACACATGTATCTGACATTCTTTTGAATTAATTCAACACTGAAAAATAAGACATTCAATGAATTTTGGGTTAGTTGCCCTCCACGTCTAGCTTTAGACATTAATTTTGACAATTTGGAATCCCACATGAAAACGACTGAAGCCCTTGGCATCACTGATGCGACCGAGAAGGACGAAACAGCTGTATGATGTAGCATCACTGATGCGACCTAGGACGAAACAGCTGTATGATGTAGCATCACTGATGCGACCTAGGACGAAACAGCTGTATGATGAAGCATCGCTGATGCGACCGAGAAGGACGAAACAGCTGTATGATGTAGCATCACTGATGCGACCTAGAAGGACGAAACAGCTGTATGATGTAGCATCACTGATGCGACCTAGAAGGACGAAACA